GGGGAGGGGGTTCCTTGTGCACGCACATGCTCACGAAAGGAGAACCTGACAAGTTGTTTGATGATATAAAACTTTTCTTCTTTTTTTTTGCAAAGAATAGGCTCTGTGCACATGCGTCCTGAATCACTTCCGCTTTGACCGGATGTCGGCATTCCAGTTTCCGGTTTAATTCCTGTATCCTGTCATCCCAGAGATAAACAACTAAAATGAGTGTTGCTGCGTCAAATAAACAAAAATATAACGTGCGTGGCAGCTTTAGATTTCAGCCGACGGTGTTTGGGTCTAAGGAGCACTGTTGTGTGCCGCTTTGCTCGTCTTCAGGTCGCTATAATAGCCGTTTGAGCTTTCACCGTTTCCCTAAGGAGACAAGCCTTCGTTTGTGCTGGCTGCAAAAAATCAGAAGAGAGGGATTTACGGTAACTCCTCACACCAAGGTATGTAGCCGACATTTCCTGGAGAATGAAGTAATTACTACAGAAAAGGGAAGACGAATTTTAGCAGCTGGGTCGGTTCCATCATTATTTGAGTGGAACAAATACAGCAGGAAGACACGAGCAGGTGTTTGGGAGCGCCGTTGTCGACCATCTAATCCAGAACCTGATTCGGCGGATCCAATTGAGGACAATGAACCACCCGTCATGGTACCTATGGTCGTGGACCATGACTACGGCGCCAGCAGAACCGTGTGTGTTGACCGGGAGCAATATCACAGCATGCTGAGAGAAATTGAGCAACTGAAAGAGCAGCTCCGATCCTGTAGTCTTCAAAAGCCGTTTGGACTGGAACGTTTTTCTACGTCACCAGAAGACATCAGATTTTACACCAGGTCAGAGTTGTAAAATCTAAATATTACGTTATGCCTCTGAAAAAAATTAATACGCTTTGAGTCATTGTATATTTTGTCACATTACAACCAAAAACAATTTCATTGTAATGTTCTTTGAGAGACCAACACAAGTACACACTTACTAGTGGAAATGAAATTATACATAATGTAACACATTATTATTATTATTATTATTATTATTATTATTATTATTATTATTAT